TTGGTTCGTGGCCTCTGCCACCCGCTGGCCAAGTGTCAGCCAGTATCTCCACGTGGCATGGAACATAATGAATATCCGATATTCAAAAATCGTATATGCCGAGTGGGATTCCTAGTGAACCTCGGTTGCTCTCGGAGGCCTCGCCCTGGTCGCTGGCGGCGTTGCCGGCGCATCGCTCTGCTCCTTCCTCGGCCTCCCACGCCGCCGCTTCTTCGCCGCCACCACCACCTCCTCCGCCGCCGCCTCATGATCCGACCCCCTCTCGCCCACGCCCACGCTCTTCTGCAAGAAGCCCGCTCCATTGAGCGCCACCAGGCCGAGCGCCACCGTCTGGGCCTTGAGCTTGCGATCCACGGCGTGGAACTCGAACGAGTTCTTCCACATCTTCTCCGTGTCCTTTGCCGCTAGTAGCGCCATCGTCTCGACGCCCAGCCGCGCCAGCATCTCCTCCACCGCGGTGAAGAGGCTGCGGCAAATCCCCTGCCCCTCCATCCCCGCCTTGGTTGCAATGAACGGCATCTCCGCCAGCCACGCCGCGTGGATCCTCAGCACCGCCACCCCGACCACCTCCGCCCCCCTCTGGAGCACCGCCGTGTAGAAGCCGCTGAAGTCGAGCCTCGGCGAGTGGTGGCTCCGGCTAAACACCATCGCATCCAGGTAGTCGAGCTGCGTCCAGCAATCCAGCACCGGATCAAACCGGCTCGAGATCAGCTGGAGAGCTTCCGCCAGGAGCTTGTCGTCGCAGCGGCCCCGCCTCAGCAAGCTCCACGAGAGCTCCGATCGCCCCAGCGGATTCACCGTCGCCACCATCTCCGCGAGCCTCTGGAAAAGGTTCCAGCAGCCCGAGGAGCAGAAGAAAAAGTCCCCGGCCAGGATGGCGTCGTCGCAGCAGCCCGGGTGGAAGCACCGCTCGCACTGCTCGCACGGCTGCGTCCTCAGGGGCTCGCCGCAGTGGCAGCAAAGGCACCGAAAGCAGAACCAGGCGTCCTTGGGAACTTCGAGCAGCGATACGCATTCCATGTGGAAAGTTAACGGGCACGTCTCGCAGCACACGAGCTCGCCACCCTCGTTGCAAATCCCGCAGCATTGATCGCTGTTCGCGGCGGCCTCATAGTCTACGTCGCTTCCGGAGGAGACAGTGGTGAGGCCCGAGTCCTCGTCGCTCTGGCAGTAGCTATCGAACTTCCGCCTGCGAGCCACTGGAAGCCCCTCGCTGTTGAAAAGCTCGGCCTTTGCTTCCAGCGGCGGGAGCATCTTCGAGTAGTCACACGACTCGAAAGGATCGCAGTTGGTCTGGCAAGCAAAGCTTTCCTTTTCTACGCTAGGCGACGTACCAAAGGATTCGTCAAGCTTGGTCCTTTTGCTGCTGGGAAGCTCCTCCTCCTCCTCCTCATTCTCATCGCGTCGCTCCATCTCCTCCACACTCGCCATGGGCACCGGTAGTGATTCCAAAGTCTCCATCTTGAAAGCTACATTCTGGCAGTCGGCGATGGAGAGCTGGGCCTCATCGCCCACGAAGATGTTGGCTGCCGGTCGGCGAAGCTTGCTCCCGGTGTGAGCCTCAAAGCCCGAGAGATTGAAGAGCTCATCACAGCAGCTACACACAAGCCCATCGCTGGTTACCATTCCTTCCTTCAGAAGGTGCCGGAATCGCTTCGTCCCACCGATGTAGACCACCTTCTCCTGCTCGGCGATCAAACCCAGCCCGATAAGCCAGCCAAAAACCGTGCCACTGCTGTGCCTGTGCGCGGCCGCCAAGACGTCCTTCTGTGGCACTCGCGAGAGCTCTTCCAATCGGCAAAACCCCGCGTCTAGGAGAGCGAGGAGCGCCGACCTTGCCGTGGCCTTTTTTCTCCCACTGGTAGAATCGCGCGCCCCTTCTTCGTCTTCCATGCCTCCGGAGGAGCCCTAAATTAGCGGTGTGACGTGGCACTTGCGTGCGCGCCAAGAAAGGCCTGTTTGATAATCCACGGAATCTCCCTTTTCGATATGAATCCATTCGCCAAGATCACAAAGATCGCAATCCAGTCGAAATCTCTGCAATCCGATGGAACCCCGTCGAAATCTCTGCAATCCGACTGACAAGATCGAGATGAATGACCTCGCCTCTCGAAATTCGCGACGAGGCCACGCTCCTGGCGCGATCGATCCGCGACTGCCGCCATGCCGAGGACTGCCGCCAGATCCACGCCAAGATCCAGGCCAGCGCTCGCCATCGATCCAGCGTCTACCTTGCGAATCTGCTCGTCAAGACCTACGGCAAATGCGGGAGCGTCGCCGACGCTGCCGCCGCCTTCGCGGCCATTGCCGCGCCAAACATCTTCTCCTGGAACATCCTACTCACCGCCTTTGCCCGCAACGGGCACATCGATCGCGCTAGGGCTTGTTTCGATGCCATGCCCGCCAAGAACACCGTTTCATGGAACAGCATCGTCACCGCCTACGCATCCAACGGCTACCTGGAAGATGCCGAGAATCTCTTTGCCCAGATGCCCTACAAGGACATAGTCTCCTGGAACACCATGCTCGTGGCATATGCCCAGAGTGGGCATCTTCTAGATGCCGAGGATCTCTTTCAGAGAGCGCCACAAAAGGACGTTGTGACGTGGATGACCATGATTCGCGCCTACAGTTATTTTGGCGCGCTTGGAAGGGCTGTCCAAACGTTTGAGCAAATGCCCGAAATTATTGGGTCGAATATTCTTGCGGTAACTGCGCTGGTTGAGGCATATGCCCGCAATGGGCATATGCTTGAGGCGAGATCCCTGTACGAAGCTGTGGCCCATTTTGATCTAGTGCTATGGACCATTATGGTGGCTGGGTACGGAGACGCTGGTGACGTACTTCAGGCAAAAGGAATCTTTGACAACATGGAGTATAGGAATGTAGTGGCGTGGACCGCTATGGTGAGAGCATATGCCCAAAATGGGCATCTAGAAAATGCTGTTCTCCTTTTCGATAATATGCCGCATTGGGATGTGGTATCACAGAACTGCATGATCACGGCGCACGTACAGCATGGACGGCTGGACGAAGCAAGGAATCTATTCAAGGCCATACCTTATAGGAATCTTTCCACGTGGAACACGATGATACAGATTTATACGCAGTACGGGTATCTAGACGAAGCGAAGACTGTATTTAACAAAATGCCCGAGAGAAGCTTGATTACATGGACGTGTATGCTCTTGGGGTTTGCGCAGTGCAGCCAATTGGAGAATGCCAGGTGGATGTTTGATATAATGCCCAGTAGGGATCTTATAGCATGGAACGCAATAGTAACCGTCTATGCCCGGCAAGGGTATGTGGAAGATTCGCGAGATCTATTTGATAGAATGCCTCACTACGATTCCGTGGCATGTGTTGCCATGATCGGCGCATATTCCTTGGACAGGAATCTCGCTGAAGCAAAACATGTGTTCGATGCCATGAGCTACAAAGACATAAGAGCCTGGAGTGCCATTGTCGCAGCATATTCCCAGAACGGGCATCTTTCCTACTCGAAGAAACTCTTTGACGAGATCCCTGAACCAAATGTTTATTCGTGGACGACGCTTTTGCAAGGATATGCCGAGAATGGTTGCGAGGAGGTTGCGATTGAGCTGTTCCAGGAGATGGATCTCAGTGGTGTGGAGCCGGACGAGGTAACTTTCCTCGGCCTTCTCACAGCGCTCTGTCAAGTCGGGAAGCTAGAGGATTGCTTGATCCAGTTTGCATCGATGAGCGAGCGAGGATTGAGACCAAGCTCGGAGCACTACTGTTGCATGGTCGACGCTCTCGGGCGGTCTGGACAAGTTGGAGAAGCCGAGAGAATCATAAACTTATTGAAAAGATCACCCGATAGTGGAGCTGTTGAAGGTCGTGACGCAGCCTGGTTTACTTTGCTTGGAGCCTGTAGAAGCCAAGGGGACGTTCATCTCGGGGCCCGTGCTGCCGCAAACGCGACGTCTTATAAGAACCACCAGAAGCTTTACAGGCTTCTCCACAACCTCTATGCGGGATCTTAGAAACACCAAAAGGATTAATTGATCAATCGAGTTTGGCAATATCTCGAAAAAGATATGCCCTCCAGAAAACTTAGCTGGAAGTAGTACCTCAATTGGAAGCAACCGCAGACTTGAGAAGATCAAGCGACGAGGATACCAAGTCTTGGAGCTGGCTGCGAGAGTACATTGGCGTCGTGTAAACGAAGGTGAGAGAGAGCTCGGGACCATCAAGTAGAGCCTCGGCTACAGAGAAGCAAGGTCCAACGTAGTGCATGGACGCCAGCGGCCCAATCGTTCCAGCAAGCTTGAGGTTCTTCACGTTCCCCCAGCTACACTTTGTTGGTCCGTCCACAAACACGGTGAAGAGTGCTGTCCTCATGGACGAGCTGGGTGTAACGCTCGGATGCTTGATCACCTGTAAGAATAAGAACAGAGTCTTATACGACAGCCCAAAAACCAGCACAAGTACCTGGGATAGAAGCATATTAAGCACGGAGAGCTCGGAGAAATGGCGGCTCTTTGCCAAGTTCTTCTCGGTGGAAGACGATATCTGCCTTGCAAGATCCCAGAATGGAACGCTTTCCTTGACTTGCTCGTCGTGAGGCAATCCGGCCGAGTAGTTCCCCACAACGCTGGCGTCCAGCGGAGGCTCAAAGTATCCACGGCAATCCAGCACACTTCACAAAGAAAAAAAAAATAATTCCTCACTCACTATAGAAACCAAGCGTCGAGAGAGTTACTTTGTAAAGGAGAATGTGTCTTGCTTCTTTTCTTTCGTGACGCTGGCGGCGATCTTGAGGAATGCCGCCGAGAGCGCCGCTGCGATCGTCGTGCTCTCACGCTTGCAAGCCGCAAAGAAATCCTCGGTACCTTCAAGAAATTCATCCAAGATCTGGCACGAGAAGCTTTGAATCGAGCAATGTACCTGGTTTGCCGAGGCTGTAGCTCAGGATCTCGGATCTAAACGGCGTCGCGTGTGGCTGCTTCGTGAATCCTGGCTGGAACGGCAGTAGCGCGCTCTTGGAGGAGTTGAGCGCGTATCCCACAGCATCGATCCCTTTCTTGAAGAAACCCTTGGACGCCTTGGATTTGGGAACCAGATCTTCCATGCACGGCAGCAATCCATCGCGATCCTGCCGCTGCTGCTCCTGGCGCTCGCATTCTACCCCTGCCTCCACGCATCGATCGAGCGCCGCCACGAATTCCTGCGCGGCGGTGGAGGAAGAATATCTGTCGCAAGCCCCGCTGTGAAACCTAAGAACGATGATCGAGGAGCCGCTGGAAGCCTCCTCGTAGACGTGGATTTGGAAGATATCCACGGTGTGATCGAGCTCCTTGTGCTCCTTGTGGAAGGGAAGATTTAGCTCGTTTGTGACCACCGCCTGCAGCGCGCTCTTGACGAGCGCTTCTTCGTCGCCATCGCAAGAACCTAGGGTTCCTTCTTCTGGCCACGGCAGTGATTCCACCACTGGTGCGAAAGAATCGACGCTCCGGACCTCGAATGCCAGCTTCTTGGAGGAAGATTTCGCGTCGGGGACGAGTTGCGCTCGCAGCATTGAGTGATTCTCACATACCGCTTTGGCAGCCAGGAGAATGCTCGGCGTCTGGACGATCTGGCGCAGCGCCATGCCGAAAATCCCAATCCCAGTGCCGCCGGCTGTGCATCGCGTCCAATTCTCCTCGGACGACCCCAGCTCCCTCTTCATCACTGTCGCCGCGGCCGCCATTGGAGCTGGATTTCTTCCCTCCGGGGTGGAAGAATTTTCGACCGAATGTGGAGATATGGAGAACAGCTGGGAAGAACAAAAAAGTTCTTGCCAATGGACAAGAATATCCGTCGTAGAAATACGATACGAACGGAAAGAAAGAAAAAAGCTGTGATGGTTTGGTGACCAAATTGACCCCTCCTATTATTTCTTGTTGGCCGCAAATGCCGCGTGAAGGCATTCTATCTTCACCAAACCCAGCTTTTTTAGGGCTCTTATTGCCATTTTGGCGGGAGCTTTTGAAAATTTTAGGTTCGCGCGAGCTCGGCTATGGAGGACGAGGCGGCGTCCAGCCCGCCAAGGGGCGACGACGCCGAGAAGAAGGCGACGAGGAAGAATGCCGCGGCGCCAGTGCTGGTGTATGCGCCCTGGTCACAGGGCGCGCGCAAGCAGGATGAGGAGATCCAGAAGAAGCTGGAGACGACGGACGAGCGGAGGTTAGCTTCCATTGTTTCGGGGATTGGAGCGTTCGAGACGAGCGGCAGCGACGATTGGCACCAAGGATCGGAGGTTTTCGTCAAGGGATCTCACTGCTTAGGTATGGATTTCATGGCTGGAGGAGTTTATGCTTATTTTGCTCGTTCACTCCCACAGAAAAACTGAGGGAGCTTCAGCGGTGCTTGACGAGAGACAATCCGGATAGCAGGCGTGTGTTTATGCAGCTTGGGCAATGGAATGTCGCGGGGAAGTACTTGGTACCGATCATACAGCACTATTCGGAAGATCGTCATCTCTTTCTTGCATCGTGTTAGTCCCATTCCTGTCGTGTTTTTCGTTCTTCATGGCTTACATTTTTCATTTTTTCTTTTTTCCAGTGAAGGTGTCGATTCTCCTCACTCTTCCCATCGATCAAAACTCCACCAACACGTTCGACCAAGTAGAGTACCTGTGCCAAATCAAAGAAGAGTTTCGCGAACGCAATGTTCTCGGGGCAATTATCGCACATCTAGAAGAACCTCTCAGGCATTTGGAAAAGTATGTGCTTAGCTTTTGATGCCTGCTTTTCATAACTTGTCTTTATGCTCTTGTAGGGGCTCTGTCAGTGAAGATGACTGGAGGCTTTTGCAGCTGGTGCTCGCTTTCATTCAGAACCTTCTGGCTGTACCAGAAGCTATGAACTGGGTTGGTCCTTACCCTGCCGAGCGGTACTCTCAACTGCGAGATGGTATTCTCGAGAGTTTGTTTCGCGAGTGCGGACCGGACATCGTCCTAGCCGTTACGAAGTATTTGCCCGCCTTCAAAAATGGCATCCGGAAGGATAACTTCCTTATTATTCAGATTCTACACCATATGTTCTGGGGTCAAAAACCAGAGTTGCTCTTTCAAGCATCGAGAAAGGTGTGTAGTTTCGTCTTTTATTTGTAAGTCGGTTGTTTACTGAGCTGCAATATCAGACAAAGGAGACAAGTTCAAATGCTTTAAATGAAATGCGACGGAAGAACATGCACCGCCGCACACACTTCTCTGGGACATTTGTTCGTGTTGACAAGGTGCCGAAAAGTTTCTTAGCATTACTCTATAATTTTTAATGGAGACAGGACGGTACCAGAAAAATGGTTCTGACAAGCCCGTTTCAAGCAGCGGATGAAACCAGTAAGAAGTGTCCACAAGTCGAGGAACCTGAAGAAAAGTTTGCTCGCGATATCAACGTCCCTTTACCTTCTCGAGACGATATCAGCGTCTCGCTAAAGGACTATGCTGATCAGTTTTTAGAAACGGGAGCATATAACAGTACGTTAATTTTGATTCCAATCTGTTCTATTACTTTTTCTTTTCTTTCCAGTCTTGGTACAGACTTTCCAGGAAGATGTTGAAAGAGAACGGCGAGAGATTGAGACTTCTGATTTTGTTACCTTTTATGAAGTTGCTGAATTTTTTCTAAGCTATCAACGCTATAAGCTTCTGAAAACACTTGTAAGTTGTCTTTACTTGAGTTCTGTTCCTTACTACCTTTGACAGGCAGATGAAAGTGCTTTATCAGATTCAGTCTGTGGTCATGTTTCATGTACAATGAATGAAGAGACGTTTCAGATGGTTGTATCAAAATGGCATGATTATACGGAAGCTGCTAAATCTCCTAATGACTGGATCCCGGTTGTCGCGGTTGTTTCCCTGCTAAAAGAGATGGTAAGCCTAGTTCCCTCGTAGTGTCGGCTTATTCTTTCTTTTCTGTTTTCTCTTTTCTAGATTCATATTCTGGATTTAGTGCTCAAGAAACGGTCAAATTTCTCCAATCGTGATGTTCGCACTGCTAGGACGCTTACTTATAAGGTTTTCTATGATCAGACCGAAAGAGGCATCTTGAATACATGCTGTAGATCAATCAAGGCATTCAACAACTACAAACAACCTCGGAGGTAAAGGGAATTTATTTGAAACTTTAAAAGAATGCATATTTTTGTCCATGTAGATATCTTGAGAACATGGTCGAAATTACTCATGTCGCATTGAAACTGATGGAAAATACAATCCAGGAAGACGGTGCTTTGAGAGTAAGTTAAATAAATGCCTCTATATCGCAAATTTGAGATGTATTTTGGAGCAGGTTGTCCAAAAGGCTCGAAATAAAGCATCCAGGAAAAAACAGGATGACTCTAAAGATTTATCAGATGCGGGACCTGAGAGTATTGAAGCGTCGAAGGCTTCACTAGAGGAAAATAACGACATTTTGCGAGGAGATCAGGAGCAGGCGGGGGGTGATCAGGAGCAGGCGGGAGGTGATAAGGAGCAGGCGCAAGCAGAGCCACTGCTTGACGACCTCCAAGACGACCATGATAATGTTTCAACGCGAGAAGGCACTTTTAACGTCCTCAAATGCGTTAATACGTTTGCAGACAGTACAACCGTTTCCAACTATTGCTGGCTCCTGACATTCTACCAGTCCAACAGCCCTGCCTTGAATTATTACATCGTTTGTATGCTCCACCGGATATGCAAAGATTGCGAGCTGGAGCCCTTGCTATACGAGGTCTGTCGAGTTTGTTTTCCGAATTGATTCGTTTTAAGCCTGAATATTGCAGATTTCAATCCTTGAAACCTTTGAAACCATCCTTTTGGATGAAAAACTTCAAAAACTAGAAGAGTACAAATTCCTCATCTCCTTCATCAACAAAGTCGTTCGTAACTTTTTCAAGAAACTGAAGTCGAATCCTTGGCTTTACGTGGATGTGCTGTTTACAAGAAGCCGTGAATCATCCCGTGACATTGCCGATGATTACGAGTTCGAAGGGGATACATCTATTACTTGCCTTGCGGACGCTCTTCAAGAAGAAGCTGATGATGGTTTTGTCAACCTGGCTTCTGAATCCACGAGGTACATTTTCCTATACTTAGGTTCGTTCCTTGACTTTCCTCTTCTTAGTATTATTGGCGAACGAGGAGTTGCTCATAGAACAGTACCTGTGCCCAAGAAACGCAGAAGGGGTCCTTTCAATGAGGAAGATGAAAAGCGCATTATTGAGCTTTTCCAACAGTAAGACTTTACCTTAATTTTCTTTAACACCTGGAGGATGTTTTGTTTCAGGTTTAAGCACAAGCGTAGCTGCTCCAAACTGATTGCAGGAGCATTGGATAGCGATGGGAAGATATCCAGTGCGCAAGTAACAAGAAAGCTAAAACAGCTCGGTCTACATCGTAACGGGACTACACCATCTCACATTCACGCTGATGGAACAAGTCCAATTGACGCTGACAGGTAAGCCTTTTACCATCACACTCAGAAGCTGCAAAACATTTGTCACAGGAATGACGATATGGAGGACGACGAGTTAGATAAGGGCAATCACGACGGCGTCCAGCCTTTGAATGAATGGTCAGTTCAAAAGCTTGATTGATTTATAGATTTCTCATGACGTTTGCAGGGAGGACGGTGAGAGTTCTGAAGACAATCAGGGGTGGACTGAATCAGAAGAAGATGACGATGAAGGTGACCTTGAGAAGGGAGATACAGAGAACAGAACACTACCTGCTGCTAACAACGCTGACTACGTGGAGGAAAACAGGTTGCCATCCGATGCGGAAGTGGACCTTCAGGAAGTGTAAGTTGTAACTTGCCAATTTATCAAGACGCCAACTTCCTAGCGCTTCTTTCAGGCTCGACGTTCCTCCAGGGCACCCTGTAAACAGAAAGAAAAGACTGGTGAAACACCAAACTGCTGACGACGCTAGCCAGGACATGATGGACTTGGAGGATTTAGCAGGTACCGAAGCTGAAGCCATACCGAAGCCAGCCAAAAGAAGGGCCTTCACAATCACAGATGACGACGATTAGATGGGCGTCGCTACTGCGGGATGGTCAGCTGCAAATGGTAACAGGACAGTTGATGAGCGGCGAGAAGAAATCTCGACTTACGTCTTGCTTCTCAAGAAATGCGCCGACTCGAAGGCCCTGCTGGAGGGCAAGCGGGTCCATTCTTGCCTTGTCAAGGATGGATATGCCAGTGACAGACTCATCGCGAATCTGCTTATCGAGATGTATGGCAAGTGTGGGGGCATTGCAGAGGCGAGGTCAGTGTTCGACCAGATTCAGGAAAAGAACGCGTTTTCCTGGAACATCATGATGACGGTCTTCATCCGAAACGGTCATCTGGAAGAGGCAGAAGAAATCTTTGGTCGGAACCCGGATCGGAACACAGTGTCCTGGAACACGATGATCACAGCATATTGCCAGTATGGTTATCAACACAAAGCGAGGCTTCTCTTCGATGAAATGCCGGCAAGGGACGTTGCTTCATGGAACACCATCATCACGGGCTCGCCAGGAAACGAAGTTATCAGGCTGGTTTGCATGATGGATCAAGAAGGCGTCTCTCCAAACCGGATCACTTTCGTCTGCATCTTAAACTCCTGCTCGAACATCCGGAACTTGGTTCTTGGAAAGACGTATCATGCCAGGGCAGTTTTCCACGGCTTGCATCTAGATGTGGACGTCGGCAACGCCATCATCAACCTCTATGGCAAGTGTGGCTGCTTGGGCAAGGCGAAGCAGGCATTCGATACGATGACCAGGAGGGACGTGATTTCCTGGACATCTTTGGTCACGGCCTACACTCAAAACGGTCGCCTGGTGGAAGCAAGACAACTCTTTGACGACATGCCTCAGCGCAACACTGCAACGTGGAACATGATGGTGGTGGCATACGCTCAGGATGGAAACATGAACGAAGCTCGGGTACTTTTCGACAGAATGGAGAACAGGGACGTGATCTCCTGGAACGGCATCATTGGAGCTTACACGCAAAACGGTCTAGGCAAGGAAGCTCTCCACCTCTTCAAGACCATGGACTTAGAGGGTGTGATAGCGAACCAAGTCACTCTGATCAACGCAATCGACGCCTGTGCCAGTCTTCCATCCGAAGAAGAAGGCCGGATCGTCCATGCTATAGCTGTGGACAAGAGGCTCGAGTCCGATACCATGGTGGGGACGTCGCTCGTCAACATGTTTGGGAAGTGTAAAAACGTGGACGCTGCCAGGGCCGTGTTCGACAGTCTACCTCGGAAGAACTTGGTGACTTGGAACAACATGGTGGCGGTCTACTCTCAAAACTGGCAGTGCAAGAAGGCCATCCAGGTGTTCAGATTCATGGACTTGGAAGGGGTTCAGCCAGACGCAGTGACGTTTCTCACCATCATCGACGCTTGCGCGGCTCTAGCAGCACACACGGAAGGCCGGATGGTCCACGACGACATTACCGCAAGCGGGATTCCCATGGACGTGGCTCTCGGCACGGCGGTCATGCACTTCTATGGCAAATGTGGGCGACTGGATAACGCAAGAGCCATCTTCGACAGCCTGGGAAAGAAAAACACCGTGACTTGGTCCGCCATACTCGCTGCTTACGCACAGAACGGCTACGAGACGGAGGCTATCGAGCTCTACCACGAGATGGTTCAAGGCGGCCTGGAAGTGAACGGCATCACCTTTCTCGGCCTCCTCTTCGCATGCAGCCACGCCGGTCGCTCCATGGACGGGGTGGACTACTTCGTCTCGATGATACGCGACTTTGGAGTGGTGCCGGTGTTTGAGCACTACCTCAACTTGATCGATCTCCTGGGAAGGTCCGGCCAGTTGCAGCTCAGCGAAGATCTCATCAACAGCATGCCATACGAGCCCGACTCCTCGGCGTGGCTAGCTCTCCTAGGCGCATGTAGGATGCACGGAGACGTCGATCGAGGGGCTCGCATCGCGGAGCTTATCTACGAGCTGGATCCAGAGGACTCGGGGCCTTACATACTGCTCTCAAACCTCTACTCCTCGACCGGGAGGATGGACGAGGCCAGGAGAACGAGGAAGGCGATGAGACTCAGGGGGATAACCAAGCAGCCGGGATTGAGCAGCATCGAAGTGAAGGATCGCGTCCACGAGTTCATGGCGGCGCAGAAGCTCCACCCGCAGCTCGGGAGGATTCACGCAGAGATCGAGAGGCTCAAGGCGCGAGTCAAGGAGGCGGGCTATGTCGCTGACGTGAGAGCTGTTCTTCGGGACGTGGAGGAGGAGGAGAAGGAGCAGCTGCTTTGGTACCACAGTGAGAGGCTGGCGATCGCGTTTGGGCTGATCTCCACTCCGCCAGGAACTGCGCTCCACATTGTCAAGAACCTCCGCGTGTGCTTTGATTGCCATGCAGCCGTCAAGGCCATCTCCAAGGTTGTGGGGCGGAAGATCGTTGTTCGTGATGCTATACGCTTCCACCACTTTGAGAATGGTGCGTGTTCTTGTGGAGACTACTGGTAGAGCCCTTCGAAATAATCGACAGTCGTGGAATATTCTAATGAATGAAAAATCGAACTATAGTGACAAAAATCGCATTGCATTGTTGTTCCACACTTTTCCTATCAAGCTGGAAGGCACCCAACTAAAAGCATAAGATTGAACAGTAATGGTGACAAAAACTGCATGGCCATATTGTTTCTCTAGTTTTTTCACCAGCCACACCACATCGAAGTTTCTATAGTCAACTATTTCATGTATTTGGAGTTGCTCCTTAAAAGCCGCAATACTCTGAGTGATATAAAACTTCTCCTTCATCACATTCTCAAGCTTAGTCTCCAAAGCATAAGAAAAATCCACAACCAAAAGAATGTCATACATTCATAACATCATAGATTTTATCGTGAGCTTTATTTTGTGATGTGTTTATGTCTGGGCAAACGAGACGGCGAGGAAATCCGTCACCACTTATAAACTTCTAGTGTCCTGGATATTCTCGCGATTCCTTTGTGTTCATGTTGCTCACGGGTATCCCTTCTAGATCTACGCTCACTCAGACACACTTTCGTGCTTGGCGCTTAGCCAGAATGGTCGTTTCCTTGCCACTGCGAAGTGTCAAGGACGATCATGAGGATTTTGGGGGAAAAGCTCGAGGTAAGAAACAAATTTCTTCTTCTTTTGCTGCGTTTTCCAGCTTTGAAGAGGGAAGGATTAAGCTGATATTTGGAGCGTGGCATGTTCTCTTGCTGGCGCTCACCAGTGACACAATGCACGATTCACTTATTCAAGCTAAACATCCCGGATTCTTCTAGAACTTCAAACTCTTCGGCTGCCTCTCTAACCACGAAGTGGCAGCTTTTCTTGTAAAGCTACACCTTGTTTTGCATCACAATGCCAGGGCATCACCCGCGACCTTGATCGCCGACGTTGAGCCACGCAATTGTACGAGTTTGAGATTACCACCCTTTCGTTGTCACCCAATGAGAACTTGGCAGAGATTCCCGTGGCCCGAGGAGCTACAGGGGCACCTAAAGCATTCGTGCTAGTTGAGCCTGAGACCTCTGAACAGCAGAGAGACAAAAGGAATGCGAGACATGACATAAATTAAAAGAAAATTTGTAGAAATTCAGCTAAATTACATGAACT